TTTAGCTAATTTAAAGCAATCCCCAGCGCGAGTTAATAAATTCTGTTAGAGCTTTAGGCAAGTGCATAAATCTTGAGCAGCTCATTAAATTAAGTAGAAGCTCAGCGCGGCTCCCGAGAAACGAAGTGGCCCATTTGGGGTACTTAATGTGGCGAAAGACATAAACGCAGCAAATGCTCAAGTGTAAAAAATGGACGATTTTATTTAGGAGCATACTTATTATATTTGCATATACAGAGATATCCATGTCTATGTCTATGACTCCATATGTCGACGGTATAGCGATATCTATAGCCTCATATAATTATTTTCTATCTCTTGTTACATCGTATATATCTATACATCGATATCTTTAACTATATAAGAGAGAAGCAAATAGTAGTATAGAGTGGGTATAGAGTGGGATACAGAGGAAGCGATTAATATAATGGGATAGAGACGCTGAGATTAAGAGAGAGGGAGAGAGCGCAAGTGAGAGCGAGAGAGAGAGTGAAGAAACTAGATACGAACATTTGTGTACTACCATACTATCATATATACTTTAAAAGCATTTTTAAGTATTTTCTATATACTTGCAATAGCTACATTTCCTTTACAGAGAAAGAGAGAGAGAGAGAGAGAAAGAAGAGACTAGACATGAACATTTGTGCACTACCACTATATAGTGTATTTTTAGGTATTTTTTAAATACTTGCAATGGATATATTTCGTTCACTAAATTGCTCATCTTTTTAAGCATTGTAGTTAAGTAAATGTTGTTATCAAATGTTCTTATATTGAACAGAACGTCTTCAGGCGCTGTAGCTGGCTTGTCTTCCATCGGCCAAACAATGCGAATGCAAGGAGACTGTGCAAAGTTTTTTGGGTCATTGAAAGTTGAATGTCTGGCATTAATGATTCAGGATTGAAAAGTGTTTTGTAAGCTCGCCGTCTGAACTTTGAGTGAAATACAAGCTGTGATAAAACGGACAAAAGGCCACAGACTTTCCCAGCGCTGACTGAAAACCTTTCAGTCCAGGCAGAGCCAAAGGCAGTGGCAAAGGCGAAGGCAGACAAAGCCACATAATGTCTAGAAACATTTTGCATAGATTCTTCCCCCACCTCAGTGATTGTGCGCGCACTTTATGGCTCATTATTTTCAATGGAAAAGCGTTTTCATTTTCCCTTCCAGCAGCAKCAGACTGTTCATTTGCAGCATGCAAGTTTTCATTAAGAAGCTGCAAAATATTTAAACTCTGCCTCAGTTCTGATGTCATTAACGCTAATGACGTCATGAAATTCTATGCATATGCGGCCATCGGAGCTGCTCACTGCGATACAAGCACACACAGAGAAAGAGAGAGACGGAGGGAGAGAGAGAGAGAGAATGGGAGAGCGAGAGAGCGATAGAGAATGTCGCCCACATAGTGACCAGGGAATAGTCGTCGCATACTCGTGAATAGTGAATGAATTTCCCAGCCAACCTGATATTGGAAACTTTTCCATTGCGGCCAGACGATGTTGCCCATCTATTTTTATAACATGCCCTAGGGTATACTGATTTATGTACACAAAATGTTGCAAGCTACTGTATTTAAGAACAGAGTATATGTTCGTATAGTATATAAGACGAATTTTGAATTATTATTATTTAATTTTTTTTTTTTTTTTTTCAAAAATGTTTAATATCTATCACGATCCATTATAAATTATTAATATCTATCATGCAATTTTTGTTTGCAAACCCCATCCAATATTACACACAGATTTACCAAAGATTCAAGATTCAAAGCAATAACTGTATGTTTCAACTTTTCTGTATATTTATTATTATATATATATATGTTCAGATTTTAGAGGGTATCTGAACTGCCTGCTGCAATATCTATGCGGAATTTGAGCAACATATCAGCCTCGCCCACACATTCGAGCGTATTCTGACTCCGTCGTCGCACTGTGGTTGGACAGAAAAAAGAGAAAAAGAATACGAAATATAAGTCAGCAATATCTGAACTTTTGACAATGTTTTTTTTTTTTTTATATATACATACATATGTATATTTATATGTTCCCTGGGCTCGTTCAGGCAGTGGCAGCCAGACCCGCTTTTGACCACGGCACCATATGATTTTAATGACAACTCCGGCTAACCATTCGAATTCCTTCTATTTTTTCGGTTAGGTGGCAGCAGCTGCTGGGTGCATACAATGTGCAAGAGCTGTACTGACTGCCTCATGCTCTAAACAACTGCAAAGCTCTTGAAAATATATAGGTTTTGCCTTAGTAAAGCTCAAAGCTTTCTATATATTATTATAACTGGGAGATCATCTATGAAGGATAGGAAAGATTAAAGGCACAAATTGGAGATGCAGAGCTACGGTATTAAACATATAAAAGTGCTTCAAGAACTGCATTTTCCTATCTGAAAGAGAAGCTTTTTTAAAATGATTAAAAAGTTCCAAGAAGAGTAAAAGCTGTTGGCCATATTTTCAAAACCATTCGCCTGCTCCTTGCTGAAATTCCTTATATATACTTCGACTGCTCATCTCTAACCTTACAGCCGATATACCCCCTTTATACCATTCAACAGACAGTGTATGGCAAATGTAAAAAGTCGAAAGCCCGGCACAGTGCTCGAAACAATTGAAACTTTGTTATTGCATAGACGATAACAAAAGCGGAACGCAGAAGTCGCCAGTGTAAGGTACTTGGCCATTGGCCGTGCACATGGCAAACCACATGGCAATCCTCATGGCAAAGAATTTATATGTATTTCGAGTATTCATTTCAAATTTGATTTCAACTACGAAAGCTCTATGCATACGCCTAATGAGGTTTGATGGAACATAAAGCAAGAGCAAAGCAAGATTTGTTACATAAATGCTTAAAATGAGAGAGATAGATAGAGAGAGGGAGGGAGAGAGAGCAGACCCTGTGCAGCAATTCAAAGATGTGTGAATAAGTGGAGCATATGAAAATGTCTAGAACAATGCAGGACAATGGAAAAATAGCTCAAAGCGAATCGCTCAAACAATACGCAAATTGTATGTTAACAGAATTTGGTCAATGGGTGAGAGAGAGGGAGACAAAGCACAAGAGTGAGATGGAGAGAGAGACAGACAAGTGGAACAGAGTCTTACATTTATGAATGGAGTAGCTATGAAATGAATATTCGAAAATTGTCCAAACTGAACAAAGGCAATGAATGAGAGAAATAGATTGATAGAGAGAGAGAAAGAGAGAGAGAGAGAGAGAGAGAGAGAGAGAGAGAGAGAGAACATGACTTAGAAAATACAAACGGAATTTATATTAATTAAATCAGTCGAACGAAAGCAGTGTTTCATAAGAGAAAAATTAGTTAGAGAATAGAGAAATTGACAGTAAATAATAGAAACAAACAGAATTGTAGAGAATAAAGACTTATAGATTTATTGCGAATTCAATATAATTAATTAAGTTATCAAATGAAAACAAGAACACTGAATTGACTCAACAAGGCATCGTCTTCTACAATGTATGTTAAGGCTTTAGCCTTCTATCACTTCCATGCATCTGTTCCAAATAAAAAATTTGAATTTGAATTTCCAATTTGAATGGCTATAATAGAAACAGAAAGGGAAAAAGAGAGAGGGAAAAGCAGAGTGCATGAAAATAGAAATTCCAGCATAGATTGCATTTCCCCATTATCTTCATGATTGTGAAAAATATTTTGACTGAACAACTTCTCTCTCTCTCCCTCTCTCTCTCTCTCTCTCTCTCCGTCTCCCTCTCTCTCTTTCTTTAACTGTCTCAGTTTAGGTTTCTGCATCTATGTCATTTTCTATCTGCATGTTTTTATATTTGTTGCTTGGGGATTGACAGGCAGCAGTAGCAGGAGCAGCTGCCGCAATATCCTTGTTATCCTTCGTATGCACAAGTGTTGGGCAAAAGGCTTTTAAAATCCGTTTAAACTTAAGCAGTATATCGCGTGCTCTTCCTGTTCCTCATTTTACTCTTGCTGTTGTTGTTGTTGTCGTTATTTTATTTAGTATGCATCACATTGGCATTGGCTGCTGCTGGTTGTTGTTTCCCGCCTCCTGCTGCTGCTGCTGCTCCTGCTGCTCCTGCTCCTCCTGCTCTTTCAGGCAACTGCAAATCCCGCAGTGCAACACATGTAAATCCAAAGGCATTTGCTTCGCTGCCTTCAACTAAGTCAGGACACAGGACGCAGAATATCGCCCAGGACTTACAGCGCACACACACATACCTATACATAGATATATGTTACGTATGTATGTTATTTTGGACTATATCCAACGAGCCATGCAAAATGACACAAATATTAAATGCACACAGCAAAACCAGCAGCAAAAATAAAAAGCGTGACTGAAGCTGGGTGTGAATAATGTATTAGACTGACAGCTACCCTGTAGGCAAGCGAGCACAGGTGAGCAAGAGTTATGGATTCGCATGTGAATGAGAGACATTTTATATGTTAAATTCATTTCACGTTGAGATTAGACTGAAGATGGAAAGAAATATTCAGGACATGTCATTAAAGAACTCCACAAACCCGCTGAAATAACGTTTAAATAAATCAACTTTTTTTAAATGAATAAATAGTTAATATTAGTTTCACTAGAATCCGGCTATAACGACGCTCTAGGAACCGTCCTTATAACCGAAAGGCCCTATAAGGCAACCGAATTAGGAAACTCTCAATAGCAGAGGTAACAAAACATACTCTCTCTCTCTCTCTCTCTCTCTCTCTCTCTCTCTCTCTCTCTATTTCACAATTCCACGTCTAAATATAACACGAGCAGGCATGAAAGCATCCTTGAGACGCATTCATTATCAATCAGTCATTCATTCACTGAAATCTGATTATTTAGCAATCTTTGTGTGTCACGTCAAACTTGAGAATTTTCACAGTCAAATTGAGTAAAGTGAAAATTGCTCGTAAGAATATTAGGATAAAGATATACATATATATGTGCATATGTTTCTATAAATATATGTACACACATTATAGAGCGCCAATCATGGACACAGAGCAGACACAGAACGATGCGCCTGGCGAGCAGCGGCAGGTCAGCGACTTAAGTATGAAGGAAGCATATTTCGCCAGCCTCTCGCAGTGGGCGGAGCAGGTCAAGGCCATGCAGCTGATGACCAACTATATGCTATTCCAATACAACGTCAACTTCGTCAGGAACAACAACTACATCAATCAGATAGAGATGCAGATGCAGGTGCAGAATAGAGCGCTGTATCAGCCAATTCATCCGCGGCGACGTCGACGCTTCAATCCTGTCCACGTCCTGGACGACGCACATCAGCGAGAGATCATCCGGCGATATGGCGGCACACAAATGCTGATCGCTCCGTTCTGGAAGCGAGCTATGGCCGAGATTGTGGACTCGCTGATCCTGTCGATTATCAAAATACTGCTGGCCTGTGCCGTCGCGTACATGTTCGGCGTCGACCTGGAGAGCAGCCTGCTGAGCAGGACCTTCAAGGACGAGAACCCCTTCGTAGCCCTCTTCGATCTGTCCCTGGAGGTTTTCTCGCTCTCCTACGATCTGCTGCTCATCATTGGGCTGATCAAGCTGGTTGTCTGCTTCTACGAGTGCCTGTGGACGGTGTACGGCAACGGCGCCACGCCGGGCAAGTGGCTAATGAAGATCCGAGTGGTCTATGTGGAGGCAGTGGTGCCACTGCAGCGCCACGTCCCAGCTCATTTCATATTCCAGACCCAGCCCCATCCGCAGTGGGCCTTGCTCTACCCGGGCGAGACGCCCGGCCTCATGAGGTCCCTGCTGCGCGCCTTCACCAAGAACATGGTCATGACCTTCTTCTTCCCCGTCTGCATCATCATGGTTCTGCTCAAGAACAATCGCACCACCTACGACATTGTGACGAAAACAGTTGTTGTCGAATCGAATCCAAGCGAACCTCAGCTACGTCACCATTAGCAAATCCCAGAATCAAGAAAATTCAAAACGATTTACATGAACCTTAACACTAATTTATTTAAATTTCAATTTTTTAAATTGTAAATTAAATAAATGTATTAAGTGAAGAGTACATTGACTGCGAAATGAGCTAGAACTTTGTTCTAAAATATTAGATTAATAATACTTTACTAAAAAATAATACGAAAGTTGAATTGTTTTTATGTTAGAGAAATCTTAGTGTACTAGAAAGCCAGCATTATCTATTGGACTATTTCGAACTCTTTCAGGGAAATGTAATATTTAGATAAATAAGAAATATTGGTGTCTTAACCATTTCAAAATTCTAAATGAAACATTTTATCTTACTCCAACTCACATATGCAATTGACTCCCAATAGACCCTCATTTAAAATGGCTTGTCTTTTACAGGGTATACAATATGGCAGCTTGGTGAGCCCTAGCTTCAGGCAATTTTACATTTATTTGAACTGTTCGCTGGCTTTTGTCAAGGTGTTAATCAAGTGGCCAACATGTTTTGGCCATGATAAATGTGTCGAGAGCTATGCAGCGTAAGCTCCCGAAAAACTATGTCGAGCCATGCAGCAAAGACTATGCCACGTTCATGTTGCAACATAAAATTCTTTGCTGCTGCATTTAACGAGCTGCAGTGCAGAGGAAGAAGAAGAACTAGCAGCAGCCGCAGCAGCAGGAGCAACAGCAGCAGGAGCAGCAGCAGCAGCAGCAGCCGTTGCTGATGTGCTAAAGTGTAAGCCCCGTGTGCAAGTAATTGTTGTGTGTAAGGACAATGGCGTATTATCATGCTCGTGCGTGGATGGGTGAACGGGTATATTAGTTTTCTAGTTGAATAACCCATACTCCTTCAAAGAGAGTTCGTGTGGAAATTCGAATTACTGAGGGTAACTTCTCAGTGATGAATAAGCAGTCCTTGACTATTTTTTATGGCTTTGAGTATCGCCGAGCCGGCACTACCGACCAAAGCAATCTTACTTGTTATAAGTTGCCATAGTGTCCTGCACCCTCTCTCTAAGCGTGTGTGTGTGTGTGTACGTGTGAAGCCCCGTTTTGCATAATAAATTAACCGCATGGCTGGTTGGCTCTGGCTGACTGGCTGGTTCGCCTGGTTTGCCTGGTTGGCTCTGGCCGTTGAGCAGGTTGGCAGGTCGCCCGTTTCGGCGCTCATTAAAGCGCATTTGTATTTAGTTGTGCATAAAACATTATGCGAAAATGAGCAACGTGACCGCAACGACTGGCCAGGACATCGAAGGGATAATGCAATCAGCGACACGCCATGAAAGAGACAGACTGAAAGAGAGAGAATGAGGCAGAGAGAGAGCGGGCTAATATGCAATTACATCATGTCGACAAGCAGTCTGCGGAATTTAATATGCATTCACATACACATACAGGGATTTACACATATACATATACATATATAAACATATATAGGTAGATAGATATATATGCCTATGCATGCATTTCTGTTATTTCTTTGTCAATTATGATTCGATTCGTTTCAATTGCCATTTATAATTGAGCACTTGTGCTTCTAATTAATATAGAGCTGCAGAGTCGTTAAAGCGGCTAATTAGTATTAGATGTGCAGTGGCATTGGCCCGCCTTCAATTTTGTTGATCTTTAATTAATATTTGAGCGGCTGCACCAGCAGTTAAACGAGCTAAACGGCCTATACTCAATACCAAATTAAGCTTAGGCTTACATGAGAGTATAAGTAGCTCTATAGTATAAATAACTAGAAGTAAAACTGACTTCAAATGTATCTATATAAACTAACTAATAAAAATTGCAACAAAATTCTTAGATATGAAAGCTCAACAAGGTAGAGCAATTGTCTAATTACGGAACTAAATCCTTCGTCATGCATACTCGAAATACTTTACAAATGTCTGCCAGCCGCATTCCTTGGTTGCCTTTTTAGGTACAAACTAAACTCTCAGACAAATACAAGCAAAGTGCAGCTAGGAAAAACTACAACCAAATGCAAACTCCATTGTAAAGCTACTTCCAAGTGCAAAACTTCTCAAACTCTCGTGCACCGTCTCTTAAGCAGAGCAGAACATTTTCTTAATCCGCCCGTTACGTTTGAGAGAAGTTTAAAACTGTTGCGTAAGACAACGAAAATATTTTCATGTTCAATTTCACAAACATTGAATATTTACATCAATGGTGAGGGGAGCGGGGAGTCAGAGTGCAGCTCGAATGCTATTGAATACACAATTTCAATAAACCGACGACAAGAGGACTTCAGATCCAAACAGATTATGTCTCTTGTCTTGACTTCTTGACTATCTTTTATTTGTATTTGTATTTGACTTTTGTTTCTTATTTATTTTCCTCGATACCCGGAATCCATTAACAAAAAATGTGCTTGGAGAGGGTATATTGGTTTTGATAAGAAGAACTTTATAGGCAGACCTGATGAAGTACATCAAATTTGCCTGACAGTCAGAAACTGAAGTTGAACTAGTTCTGTTCGTCAATTCGTACCGGAAACGTTATATTCATATAGGCAATACCCTTCATCTTTATCAGTATCGAGTATCTCCAAGTCGTGCACAGCCAACTAGACCCGTCTCAGTTCACATTTCTATTTCGATTTGTGTTTTGTTTCTTATTTTGCACAGCCTGTGGCAATTTTTTAGCAAATATTGTGCAAAATTGATCATATTTTTCCACGGAAGAATATTTTGTCATGTCAAGAAATCATTCAACCTCAAGGCGAATGGCACAAAGCAAATATAAATTTATATACACATTTCTATGTACGTATACCAAATGATAATATTGGAGAGGAAAAACGTATATCGATACATGAAACGAATGTTTTACAATATGTCGCGCAGTTCCCTAACCAGTTGTCCCTCTCCGTCTCTCTCCCTCTCCCTATCTTTCTACTTCTCTGCCTGCCTCACTCTTCTGCTACTCCCGCTTCTGTCTTCAAGTGTTTCTGTTGCTACGTTGGGTAATTGCTATTTGATACACACACACACACACGACAAAGTTGTATGTGTGTTCGGTTCTTGTTTTGGAGCCCTTGGCATATTTGTACGGCGTAAAGGCAGCTCGAAAAGCTGGCAGCCAACAAATGCCCATAAAATTCAAGTTCTTGCAATAATAAAATTCAATTAAAACAAGAACCAAGCAGAACTTGGTGTCTTGAAGCACTCGAATATTAAATACCCTGACGGCATACCGAATATCCTTAGTCCTTAGTACTTCAGCTCGAATGAATGATTAAGTGAGATTGAGTTACTGATGCAGTGTCAATACTTGAAGGCTTGAATTTGAATGAATGATTGACTGAGTGAATCATCCAATCTTCGATTGATGGCGTAATCGAATTACGGAAGAATTTGACTATGTCTGAAGATTGCTCAATTAATGAAATTTCTGATCTATTATTGATTGACTGACTAATAGAATATCTCAATGAGTATCTGACTGATTGATTGACAGCCTAATTGACTGAATAATTGCATAATTCACGGAAAAATTGATTGACCGGTACATTATCTAATTGACAGAGTCACTAAGAAACAATTTCAATGATTTATTCGTTGAATAACTGATTTACTTAATGACAGAAAGACTAACAAGTATTTGATTGATTGATTGAAAATGCAGGTTTACTTACAGAAGACTAAGTGATTGACGAACTGATTGACTACGAGCTTGACCGATTGACTAGTTGATGGATAAACTACAAATCAACAGACTAACACGTGATAATGAATCATTCATTGACTGGCAGCTTGATAAGGCGATTGACTGACTGATGCATTGACTTCATTGTTTATAGCTTTGGTTTACTGACAGTAAGATTAAGAAATCTAAATAGTGAATGGAGGATTTAGATAGGTCTTAAAGTTGTACTGTTAAAGTTGTATTGTAAGCAACTCAAATTATAAATAATACGTAAAAATATGAAATTTTTTGACAGCATTCTGGAGAGAGATAAGTTTATTTTAAAGTCGCCAGCCGCAAATAAGTGAGCAGCAACTTTAGCGAGCTAAGGCAATATGTAAATGCAGACTTTTATGATACCCTATTGTGCATTTATTGCAAATGGTTACCCATGAGGCAAAAACTAAAGTAAAATGCAACAAAATGCAACAACAACAAATTTCAAAACTAAGATTTCAACTGCAATAAACGAATGCAACATTGAGATACTTTTACAGTTATAGATACATTCTCTCTCACTCTCCCTCTCTCTCTCCCTCTTCCTCCCCTGGTGTCTAAGCTCCCTCACGGCTGTTATAAAAGTTTTTTGCCATTGCAAAAACAGCATGGAAGGGGGGCTTACGGCATGCATAACACACACACACACGCACACATATACAGACATACACGCATGGAGAGAAGTATTTGTTTGGCATTTGTTAGTTGGCAGTCATAAACATTTTGTGGAACACAACGTAATTAAAAAGTTTGTAACAACAAAAACTTTGACGAGCTCTTGAATAAGTAAGTGAAGCACTGAACAAATGGAAGAATGATTGAAGAAATGAAGGACTGCAAAGAGAGAGAAAGAGTGCGAGAGAGAACTACTTAAGATGCAGCTACTTGGACTGGTCAGCCAAACAGTCTCAGGCTGCTAAATGAAGCTGCACTTGAATGTCTATGTCGAGTACTCCCCTAAGTAGAGGAGGAGGACGAAGAGCAAGGAGAACGCAGCGTCTATAACGTGTGAAAAACATCATAAATTAACAATGTGCCAGTGGTTGCGGTGGCTGTGGCTGCGGCTGCTGTGAAAATCAACTTACATTGTCAGCTCCCGCACTTGAGTTGCATTTCATTAAGCCCATAGCAGAGCGCTCATTGAGCCCTTCTTTTCGAGCGTGCCCATATAGTTGAGTGACGAGAAGGTTCTCTTAGTTGCGAGAATAAAACTGAGACCTATTAAATTGAAAGCAATTAAGGAGGGCACAGCTGAGGAACGAAGTGTGAATACCCTGACTGTGAATACCCTAAGAAGGAAAGTAAATTCTCTAAAATGAGCAAAGTGTAATAATGGAAGATCAATTTAAATTATTATTTTATTTAATTTTTACGTGATATATATTTATTTTTATTTAATTTTTAATATTTTTGTTTTTAAAAGGAAACAAAATATATATATACAAATTGCTATTTAAAGTTTTTAATTTTTTCCAAATAAATAAAACTTGCTTACGAAAATAAAATAAAAATAATAAAAATGAAAATGGGAAAGGAAACTCGAGTAACAAAAATTGTCCACGGGGAAATCAGAATAAGAAACTTTCGTCGAAAGTGAAAACATGAAGAAAGAGCTCTAACTAGGCGAGTTATGAGTTTTTAAATTATTTTTACATATTGCACAGAAACTTTTGCCGTAGCATGAACAACCAACTTGGTCAAGCTAACAAAAGGGAAATTCATTTGAATTTCCCACAATTCAAAAGAAAACCAAATTTAAAAAATATATAC